ACTCTTCATCTGTCCATTAAACTTTGGAACATAGGCCCAAACCAAAATAGTCTGGCAATAAAATGACACAACTAGGATAGGATTGGCACAGCAGAAGCAAAATCTTTATATGTAGATGAAATGATCATCTACAGAGAAAATACTAAGAAATCTCTAGGACTCCCTAGAACTTGTATTTGAATTTAGCAGGATTAGAAAACACAAGGTATGTATAAAAATTCAGGTTTATGTATACTTGCTATAAATGAAGAATTGGTATATGTGCTGCCGAAGCAAGCACTATAAATGAAGAATTGGAAATTTAAAAGTTATGTAGGATTGCAAAGGACCTAGAAAAGTAAAAAAAAAATAAATAAACACTGTTGGAAGACATTTATTACCTAATTTTAAGACTTCTTCTAAAGCTGCAGTAATCAAGGCAGTGTTGACATAAGGAAAGACATATAGATCAATGGAATAAAACAGAATCTAGAAATAGAACCACACATATATGGTCCACTGAGTTTTGAAAGATTATTTAACATTAACATTTTATAGAACATAAACTCAATTCAAGAGCAGAGGAAAAGATAGTGTTTTCAGCAAATGGTACTAGAACACCTGATATCTGTATGTAAAAAATTAACCTCAGCCCTTTATTTCCATACCTAAAAATAACTTGAAAGGATCTATGAACCTAAATATGAAAGACTAAAAGTATAAAACTTTAAGAAGAAATTATACGGGAAAATGTCATGAATTTAGGGTAGGCAAGAATTTCCTAGGATGCATAAAACATAATGTATAAAAGAAAGAAATTGATGAGATTCCATCAAAATTTAGAACTTTAAGTGACATCGTTAAGAAAATGAAAAGTAGTCCTTAAATAGACCATATTTATAATACATATAACCTAAGACCAGAATATATATAGAACTCTTACAGCTCATTAATAGACAACCCAATTAAAATGTAGACATAAGAATATGATAAATAGCCAGTACAGATACGTATTGACTTATCATTGTCATGACTTTTTCTTCTTGTTGGATTTTCCCCCTTTGTGTTTAATTTCTTGTCGTGCCCAACAGATTAATTTTGCTGGGCTTCCTGGGGTTGTGATCCTCATCGTCTTTTCCTAGAATATTGTCTAATATTTTTTGGAGTGCTAGTTTGGTATTCATGAAGTTCCTCAGGTGCTCTTT